GGGTTGCACACCTTTTGCCTGCCTCGCCCACTGGTACCCCAACAAACCTACATCTGCAAATGCACACGTGCATGGAGCCCACATTTTCCAAGCCGCATTCTTTCCAGCGTGGTGTGCAGACCATGAACCCCCTTGGAACATGCTGGCTTCAGCCAAGGGACCTCCCTCCCCACTGTGTATTCTAGATCAGCATTCTAGAACAGCACGTGCTGGCAAAGTCAAGCACAGCACTTCCTCAGGAAGGGCGAATCTGAGAGGAGTTCTCCTGCCTTTATGGAGCAATGCAAAAAGACAGCTAGAGAGAGGAGGTCAAGAACATGGTCAGCATGCATGTCTTCGTCTTGTCTCACAGAAACTACCTTGCTACAGCCCTATGAGAAAAGCACCCTTCATTACTGCCCTTTCCTCTTCGGGTTATTAGCTCCAGGACTCCACAGAGATAATGGCATTCCACCGACAACTGATTTCATGCCCTGTTTCCTATCTGTCCTCCTTAAGTAGGTGTGTAGTGCCCTGTCACTTATGTGATCCCTCCAACATTCAACTATCCATAAAACTGAGAGATGCATAATGCATCAACTATACCCCCATTTTCAACCCAAGCAAGTGATGGAAAAATCCCCAATCCCCCCCCAGACAACACAATATTACAGGCCTGAAGACATTAAATAATTCATTATGGGCAAAAAATTATCAGGCAATTATTGTAAGCAATCAACATATGGAAATGGTAATAACTGTAACAACTATAGGCAAATTTGACTCAAATGCTATGCCTATGTTTTCAAAAGGCAGATTCTGTAAAGGCAGGGAGAAATAAAGCTTTCATAAAAAAAGCCCATAAATTTAACTACAAAGAAAAAGTAATTACTGCCAGCATAAGCTTACTACTAAGTTTAGGACTGACTATAAACTTAAAACATCTTACTCTCTTTAAACAAATTTGTTATTCTTAATGTTTAAGAGAAAAACAGAACACGTTTTTTTATCGGTTGTTAAGCTTCCAAAGTATAATTATGTCTAACCACACGAAATATTTCACTAGTTCTCCAAATTTTGTTTTCAATTATTAAGTATGGGTCCTAAACTAACACTTTGTACTGGCTGTGAGGCCACAATAAGACCAACTTTGTATTTTTTTGGAAAGAAATGACAGTAATTGCACTTACTTGCAGAAATCCTTCAGTATTTTATATTCAGAACAAAAAAAAAAATTTTATCAAATATTAAGCAAACTACATATTCTTTAGTACCTTCCATGCTGCCTTTCCTTGGTCAAAGAAGTCCTGGCACTCAAGTAAGTAAAATTAAACTTCATGTTGTACTCTACTGAACAAGCTTGAATTTGTCAAGTATGAAATTTACACATTCTATTCTGATCAGCAGCCTAACCAAAGAAAGGAGATTAATATTAGGACTGAAGTGAGGCATGAAAAGGTACAGACAGTAACTTGGAGAAACTAATTCCAGCTGCCTACTTCTGGACCACTGGAGTGTTTCAGTAGAAAGCATGTTATAAGAGAAATTACTTCAGACAAAGATACTGACAGAACAGGACTAACCATTGCAACATGTAAGACTGACATGCAGAAAGAGACCTAAACACTGATCAACCTTGTATTCTCCTTGTATTACTAGAAGAGGCCAAATACAAGAAAGAGGGACAAAAAAGAAAAACAAAAATCACATGCCTGTTTTCAAATTTAAAAAAAGTATTCTGTGGTCTTTAATAAAGTTAAGTTTCCACGGTCACATTGTTTTACTATGCCTTCATTCTTAATGACACTGTCCTAGGTGGGTGACTGTGAGCATGCAGAAACAAAGTACAAATAACATAGGTCATAAGACTTAAACACCTCAGTTTCCAGTTTAAGAACAGTCTGACTTTTGTGGGTTAGACAGCTTCAGAGAGAAATCTCCTCTTTAAGCTTTGTTTATTTTTAACTGGTACATTTATGGCATCCTCCAAGCTTCATGGGAACCAATGTCAAAAATACATTTGCTTCTGTTGCATTTTCTAGTGAAAATCTGGAATTCCTTTCCTTTAAAATCACTACAAACTTTAGCCATCTCATTGCACTTTTGTTCTTGGAAGCACAGGTAAAATAAGGCAATTGTAAGTTAAGTAGTTGCTAAATTAAAGAAAGTAATAATTCCTGAGTAGAGTCAAAGCAGTCTTATTAACTGAAGAAGCTTCCTCAAGGGAATCTCTGCCTGGCTAAAGGATGCATTGCAAGAGGCTATGAGAAGAAACTTTTTAATTCATCCTGAAGAGATGGCAGTATAACACAGTGCAAGTCTACAGGCATATATAAAGATACTTCTTTCACCTTTTCCTTCCAAGGATGGCAACAGACCAAACAGCAAATGCCACAAAAAACACGTACGTGTGGTAAGGTTTGACACAGAGGCCATGACCAGCACGTCCCATGGTTATGTTATGCAAACCCACCTGTGTCTTCAGCAATGAAGGAAGTGATTTAAGTCATTCTATGCCTAGGAAGCATTAGGATACCTTCCAAAACTATGTAGCATGGAACACTAATATTTATACAGTTACAGTATTTATTTGCAATGGTTGTAATGTGTTTTTTTGGCATATTTTCAGGCTGCTGCAGAATTTTGCTGCTGGGAAACAAACCAGCTATCAAATCTACTCTAGTGTGAAATGGTTATACATCAACTACAACTGTAACAACACTTTAATTGGGGGGAGCTGTTTAATGACTTTAAAAAGAGAGAAGTTTCAAAACTGCAAAGCATCCCATCCCCAAAACCATAAAGAAGACAATACACAGAAAGCCATCATATCAAAATACCCTTTGCCTTGAAGTGCAACATCATACCAAGAGTGAAAATACATGAACTGATAGAAAGTTACTGTTAAAGTAAACAAAAATTACGCAATTTAGTGCTAAAGATGTTTTAAGAAAATTATACTAGTCAAAGCTGAAGACTAATGCAGACCTGTGACAGAAGCAGACAGGAGAAGACGCTGATCTTAAAAACTCAAAGACTTGAATGAATGCTAAGCCAAAAGAGGCTTAACTGAGCTAGCACCAAGATGTTCACCATGTATAAAGCCAGAATTTGTAAAGCTTGAGATAAGTAAGACTTGTGCATGGAAGAATCTGCTGTGGAAGAGTCTGAAAGAGTCAGTTTTTTTTTTTTAATAATTCACACATGTGAAACATACATGACTAGGCTCTTGGTATTAAGCTTTGCAAAGCAAAACAAATAAAGCAATTACATCAGCCAACCACAGCAAAAACAACTTAATCACTCATTGTGCAAATAACAAAACACTTGTGTAAGTCCCTCCATTTACTAATGAATTGTAGGCATGTAAATAACATAGTAACTATTTTAACTATACAGTAGGCTTGTACCTGACACTACTACCAGCCTGTCATTCCACCTTACGTGGCAAGAACAACTATGCAGCAGGATTGCAGAAATTCTCTATGATGTGCAACTCACCTATTACATTGTGATACAGTTTTAAAAAATTCAGTTTTGCAAGCGTATCATGCAAGACTACTGTAGGACTACTACACAACCAAATACATGAATCCCTACAGCTTGACTGGCTTATATTTTAGACAAATAGCCAAAGCCTGCATAGCCAGGGCAACTCTGATAACCATTCTGCATCAAAAAAATCCTCTGCTTTCACACAGAAAAGATTGTTATAGCAGATTATTTTTTTTTCAGGTTCAGTTTTAAGGAGGATAAAACACCAAAAAAAACCCCTGTCAAACTGCTAGAAGGAAAAAGAGTTGTACTGCATTTTCCTTCTTATTTATCGTAGGTCCTTATAGAGTCTTTGCTTCACACCAGGCTTCACTGGACTGAATTCCTAAAAACACATGGGAAAAGTGTTCTGTTTCCTTCTCAAAACTTCTAAGGGTAGTTATATAGTCCAATGTCCAGGAGGTCACCTCAGTTTTGCTTCCCCCCAAGTTGGGCAGCTACAGCAGCTAAGGCCTTGAGCAGTTCACACTACGTCCCTAGCCTGCAAAACATCCTGAAACTGGCATTCATCCCTGTGGACCACTTTGGGGGAGGGGGTGGGGGAGACAGTTTAAGGTCAGAGAAGTCTGTGGCAGAAGAGAAATGAACCCAGATCTTTTGAAGCCTCAGACAGTACCCCTTCCACTGGGTTATGCTCCATCTATTATTTTGGAGCTTGTGCTGTGAGCCAGAAAAGCAGAGTTTGCGGTCTTCTTAATTGAGTTCTGTGACAGGGTGGTTTGAATTGCTAGAAAAGAATCTTTTGTTTACTAACTCACAGAAGAATAAAGTCTCAAATAACTTTTTTCCTTTTTAAAAATGGGCCCAAATCCTGCAGCTTTTGAAATTGAAATGAACGTTTCAGTCTACCACAATCTTGCTTCTAGTTAACCTCGGCTTCTAGACCAAAGACCAGAACATGGTTCAGAACTGTAAGCAAGATGCTACATGAATACTGTTTAGTGAAAGAAAGCTAGTTTTCTGTTTCTAGAAGCTACTTGTATACACATTTGCCAAATTAAGCCAGACTTCTTCCTCCTTAGTTCAGCAATCCATCTGCGACAACAGGTATTAGCAGCTATTGTGCCTGAAGAACTGAAGTGTGTTCAAACCCATGCAAGACATTAGAGACTAGCAGGTAGAAATTACACCCCTACTGTCAAGTTTGAATACAGGCCTAGAAGATTTCTGACACTGCATTATGCTACCATCTACTGGTTCATGTTAAGTTAAACCTCTTAAATTTCCCTTCAACACACTCACCTTCTAAAAAAATAAATAAAAAAAAAAAACACAAAAAGGAATCACAGTTACTACAGAGGCTTAAATGTATTTTTCCATAGCAAAACCCTAACTTGAAATTTTCTACGGTAATTCCACAGTCCTACTCAGCTTTTGTCTTTTTAAGCACATGCAAAAGTAACTGTCATCTATGTTCAAAAAATGTTTAAACAAGATACATCAAACTCATCCACTCATTTACTTACATTCGGCTAGTTTCAATGTTTTCAGAGTGAGGTTCTCCTGGTGATCTGCAAATACAGATACAAAATCTTAAGCACTGTTTGTTCTTGTAAGTCATTACAATATGAAGAGTTAGGAAGGGTGGAAAGTCATAGTAATGTATTATTGTCACCAAAATCATCAATCTTCTACACACATCAAATTTCTTTGACGAAAGTCTAGAAGACAGTTGATAACACAACCTGACAATATAATTAAGCCAAATCTCTCTAAGGAGGGCAGCAGTTTCCCCCTCCCCCCCAGCTTACAGCACAGCAGCCATTAGAAAGGAGTTCTGCTGGCAGCACTTCCCTATGCAGGTTGCACAGTACACCAGTTCTGGGCTAACTCTTCATAACAATTTCTGTAGCCAAAATGTACACAGAGTTTATCAACTGTTACAAACAGATTCCCTGCACAGTTGGACTCTTAAAAGCATCAGCTCTAAAGCAGGTCCCATCAGAATCTCAAAACAAATTTCATATCTTCCTCTTTACTTGAATTTATGTACATCATCTCATGGGCAGCTTTCTGTTCCTTCCTTCAAGCCAACAGGTCAGACAGTAATATTCAGAATTAAGTGTTATTGCCTGGCATTTCTGAACATACAAGCAACATCTGTGTTCAGCTTGCCAATCCCCTTGACTTAATTAACAGAGTAATTTAAGGTATACAGTTCCATATCAACTTAAGCAGGCTAGATTATAGCTGGTTAGCATCTCCTTATTCCTATCTTCTTCCTAACACCAGCACTAATTCAAGAAGTTAACACAATTTTTTTTTTTTTTTTTCTTTAGATAGATTCCCCCCACCCCCCCTTTGGGACTTTGCATTACCCAGTGAGCTTTTAGCCAGATGAGAGTTTTTAGCTGGATGAACCAGGAGACAAGGCAGTACAAATGCAGCAGTTTTGACTTCAAACACCTTGAAATCATATCCTGAAGAACCTTATCCAACCTTCACTTGGATATAGATTTTTGGTACAGTTGACAAGAACTGCCACGTTGGACATGTTGCACAAGGAGTGGAAATAAGAATACAGCCACTACAGTAGAACTCTGTAGCTTACATGACCAAAAATGTCTAATGACAGCACCTTCTCAAAACAGAAGTGAGCTAAAAATCTGTAAAGAGAACTCACTTGGTAGGTTTCATAATTTGCTGCTCTATTTCAGTTAGCACAGCAAAACAGGCTTTGTCACAGCTTCGCTGGAAAATGTTTATAGGATGGAATTCCTGAATTTTCTCCATTTACTATATGACTATCTATATTGTTCTATCTGTGACTGGAAATCTCCACCTGCAGCCTGAAACATTTCCTATTTTGCTATGTTTCATTGTGCTGCCTTACTGGATGGTCCCTCCTGTTAAAGCCTGAACTGTTCTCTGAATTCTCTACTAAAATATCAGCTCCTTTACTGACATACCAGATCTTAGCAGCTTTCTGGATTTTACTAAACTACTATATTAACAGTCCCAGTGCCTAGAAAGCATTTCTGGCAGACAATTTAAAATTTCTAGGGTAGCTGGATACTACGCAGTGACAATGATGCAGCACACAGGAAGTTATTTGTTTATAGATCACTAAGTTACAAAATTCACCTGACACTGAGGATGGAATTCTGAACTCGGTATCCAACGAACTTCATGCTCATACTTAAAACACAAATACCCTCCAACTGGAAAATAACATAAAACCTGCCCAATCTCAAAGTTTGGTCTCTATTTATTTCCTCCAAATGATGTTTCCTTTACTCATCAGTTTGGGACTGATGAGAAAGTTGATGACAAATAATTCTCAGTAGCGAAACAAATGAAAATTTCATCTCCCTTCAACTCCAGTGACCAAAACAAGTTACTAAATACTTAGCAGATAGGAAAGAAACTCAATCACTTTTTTCTAATTATTAATCTAAGCATATGAAGTGCTAGAAGACCTACAGCCCAAGGAGCAGTGGAAAAAATAATGTTCATATTCATACTGGCTAGCTCCTGTACCCACATCCAGGACTTCAGAAATTCACAGCAAAGAACCTGGAAGTTTGAGGCAGTTGCTACCTTTGTTTGAGTCATAGGAAACAGAACACAACGAAGCTTTGGGTAAGAGCAGTGCTTTTAGTTGCTACAAAAATACAAGTGAAATAGTGGTGTTAAAACCATCAAGAGTGTTAATCACTCTGAGCCTTTAAAATACACAGCAGAAAGAGCAGACTGGCATCTAAACTTAGTATGTAAAAAAAGGGAGCCTGGTGATTTCCAGTACAGCCAAACACAGCTATCAGTATATCCAAAATACTTTCTTATGCTTCTAATTTCTGTGAGTTTTATCTGGGCTTTAAACAAAGAGTGCAGTTCAGCATGTGTTATTCTGCAAAACCAGGTTTCTTCTATAAGGCAAACAATACAAGAGAAGACAGTTTAGGAAAGTTCAGAAAAAAATGACACCTAGCTGAGTCAAGAAAGCTTTGGTCCTCTAAGGTAAGTGGCTCCGAAGAAAAGAAGGATCAAATTCCTCCCACTTATTGTTTTCTATAACATGGGCAGATCTACCATAACTATGATTTGCAGAGCTATTAATGTGCTTATTAACTGGATTTTAAAAGGTTGCAAAGGAGAATATAAGCACCAAATAAAATGAACTTTCAGTACTCATTAAGGCAATGTGGAACATCAATCTAATTACAGAAACTGTAGTAGTTTGTTGAGAAGCTACTGGTTCTGCCATATCCAATGGTTTACAAACAAGATACTTTGTTACTCCCCTGAGCAGGCAACAGGAATGAAAAACCACTATATGGTATGGCAAGACATCCTTACATCATGCTTAAAATCTGAAACAAGAGCTCTGTTCAGAGAAAATCTCACAGCAAATGCTCTTATAAATTTCAGCTTTGAATTAGATCGTAGATACTGATCACAAGACACCAACTAATCTGAATACTGCAGTATGAGCTAGCAAATTCAAATGGTGGCTCACTTCCAGTAACACAGGGAGCAACTTCTCCCTTCTGCAAGCCACTCCTTTTACCTCCACTGTACCTCCCTAGGAGAGAAAAGCATAGGTATACAAGCCTAGAAATTCTAATAAAGCCTCCTGGGCAATTTTTTTTTTTTAATTTAACTAAGTGCTTAAGTATGCTAAACAATTTATACAGAATTTCATTATGACTGTAAAAAACCAACAACTTTTAAGTGATAGCATTGCTCTTAAGAGGGATACCACAGAGCACCACAGTGCTCATATTTTAAAATCAGGCAGGAACAAGCTACGTGAGCTTTGAAATCACTATAAGGAAGAGGGTAAGTCAACTCTGCCAGCTGACTTATCTTAAACAAACAATATACCTTCATACTATTTATAGAACTAATTTCAGGCCATACAAATGGAATACTTTTAAAGTAAACATACTAGAAACGATCCTGGGAAACAACACGATAAACTCCATGCTTACCTTTTACAAGCTGTGGCCATTCGGTGACATCAGGGTGATCACAATTGAGTCACTGATTAAAAATGAGTTGTCACCAGTCCTGTATCACGCTGGGCTAAGCATAAGCTTAACAACTCTAAATAAGTAAAAATAGTTCAGTTAAAGGTCCTTAGAAATTATTTTCAGACAGTCCACTAAATAAAAAACATGAACCAGAACAAAAATATTGATGCTAAGTGTTGTTTTATCTGGGAGATTAAGGCCTATCGCACAAAAAATAGTTCATTTTTGAATGGCATTCTAGGACTTCTACAGTAACTCACTACAATACACTCAACTGGTGAACCTGCAAGTTCATCAGCTTATTTTTAGCCTCTCTAAAAAAAAAAAAAAAAACAAAACAGAACCAAACCCATGTCTTGGACCAGTGGGAAGCACCCGACATCAAGACAAGCATTCAAAGATTTGGAAGCATGTGCGTAAATGTGAGCTAATTTTTAACTACAATAGAATTCTGTTAGTCATTTCCCTGCTACAACTCAATTAATACTAGTTCTTAACGAGGCTCTGTATTCCCAGGGAAGCAACATGTAACTTGTGCTTTGCACCTTTCCCCAAACTGAAATATGCTAAAGCTATCAATGTTTCAGAGGAGCAACCTTTGCTATTGTGGCCAGACTTTGAGGGTCTTTGCTCCATTTATGCCACATGTACTCTTTCCTCTCACTTAAATTTTCAAAAGCGTGTTTTACCTGTCAATTGTTTCCCGTGATCTGGCTCCACTGGTATAAATTGAAGGGTTGGTCCTTTACTTTGTCACGCAGGTGGCAGCCAATGATCACTCAGCAATACTCGTGCCCAGAGCGCCCTGGGACCACCCCAGCTGATTACTTCCATGGCTGAAAAGGAACCAGTTAGTCTCTTACCTACTGCTATTATCTACTCTAAACTAAAGTTAACTGATAAAATATTTCCAAACATAAGCCTCAACAGTCAGTTCACCCATTCTCTCTCCCACCCAAGCTTCCAGGTGCACTGGACAAAGCCTGTAAAAAAAAAAACAACCCCTGAAACAGGCCTCTGACGGAGAGTCAGATCACAAACAGCATTATTCACTTTCTGTTAATAAACATTTAAAGTGTGATTACTGTATATCATAAGTAGTTCTCTTCCTTTCTCTGAGCAGCTGGTAGCTATGCAGTACGTGAGAAGTTTATTCCTGTGGCTCTAATGCAGATGAAACCCCACATTTGTAGGTTGCCATGCAGCAGAAGCCTCACACAGAAGCAAGGTGCACAAAGGCCAGCGAGCTATTGAGGGCACACCCACAGCTCCCTACAACACCCGCAGTCATAACGATCTGGTGCAAATGCTAAGGGAGCACATCAGACAGCTTTAAATGTTTCAGTACAGAAAGCTTTTGTGCTTCAGTCTAGCCTATTACAAGAGTCTCTTGGCTAGATGTTAGGTTTCAGGAAAAATCAAGCAATGTCAACGCTCATTTGTATTTGTTAACTTGTTAGAGATATGAAATCGCTGATCAGCAAGCAAGGCGCACAGTTTTCTGAAGTTTCTCAGAAAAGCTTTTGCCATTCTACTATAATTTGCCATTCTGCTACAAACCCTGTAGCAGAACAAAACTTCTATTTGTTTTGGAATTATGCTTATTAGTTTTATCAGGTACATCCCTTGAGGAAGGAAAAGTGCCGTTTAATTAAACATCAGTAATAACTGGGTCTTCTCATCTAAACACAAGTGCAGTTGACATAAGGAAAAAGAAGCAGGCTACCAAAAACCTCCAAAACCTAAGAGAGGTTCTTTAGTATCTGTGTTTTACAGGTGCAAATTGTCAAAGTTTAAGTGAGTCAATGCCAGGAACTGTAAGTCAGCTGGAAAGGTTCCTCATGTATCAACACTAAATGACAAACAGGGTAAAGATTTTCAGATTAATGTTTGCTGACCACCAGCTTTTCAGAACAGCAAAAAACAAGATACTGATGCACAACTAAGAAGCCTCGAAACAATGCTTATGGCATTGTGATTGAGACCTGACAACATCCACTTTTAGGCAAGGCTTAAAGAAACAGACACCTATTCTAAGGCAGTGCTTTCTTCTAACATTAAATCTAAATTCTTGCTGTTTTCTGAACTGAGGTGAGATGTGTCTGTAAACATGCACTTAGAAATTAACACTGCTTCTAGCTCTGTCCAAGTAACTTTTAGTATGCTAGTCAAAGAGGACAATGGTGCAATCCCTAACACCTCATTGATTGGGAAGTACCAGTTCATGTTCTGTAGTGCATCAAAACAGTCACATCAACCTAGACTTGGATCCTACATCACCCAGACCATGGGCAAAAGCTAATTACAGTAGTCTTCCATTCAAATGGAAGCATGTTAGAACAACAGCCTGACTGACAGCAAGCTTAGTAAAACAGTTTTCCTGATGCTGCTTCATAGAGGAGAGAAGCCATGAACACGATTGTCAAAAGTGAAGGAACACAGGAAGTGTTGGCGCTGGATTCAAAAAACATCATATTTTAGAATGTTAAGGAGTATGCACTGAGGTGGCAGCTCCATAATCATGGCCAAGACAAGCTCGTGCCCAGGCCTGACACAGATCCAACTCTGTCAGATTTATCACACGACCAAACATAGTATCTGCAGCAGGTCTGTGAAGAGAGGCAGTATCTGAACTTGCACGAATCTCACTGAGCTGATCTTAACTCAAAGTTTAGTACTGAAATCTGTATCAACAAATTGATTTTACTGAGGACCAGAGCTTTGAATCAGCTAGTTACTGCATTTCTGTTATAAGATACCTTAAAACTAGATTTACTGTACTGGAGTCTAAAAATCTCATACTACTTTTCAACAATACAAATGCAAGAAATTCTACTTAATTTTCCCTTCTATCTTCCCCACCTATCCTTGCTGCCACTCCTGTGGGACAGAGTATGACTGGCAACGATTCCCCAGCACAGATGAAGAACTCATTTTTAATAAAACCTTACTCATTCATGCATCAGCAGAGCACGGTCTGCTGGCAAAGAGATCAGCATGTTGAAATATGGGGTGGGTGGTGATGCAGACTGCCACCAAAGATCCCTTATTCTGAACCTAGTTTGAAGAAAAGACATTTTGACTGCTGGATTCAAATAAGGTGGAAAAAAACCAAACTCTTAAGAGAGTTAAAGGACACTACTTGATCATGAAAGGGAAACACACTCATGAATACACTAACACCTTGAAAAAGGGCATTATGAAGAACAGGAAACTGACCTAAATCAAATGCTTTTCTGTCACAAGAATGCCTTTACAAAAACCCCTCTGGATGTAACTTACCTTTTAGAATGTAGGAACTGCAGTCCCAGATCAGGTATTTATTCTTATTACTCAGACAGATTTTTCTGGTCTTTATTGTCATGATTAGCATAGCTAGCGCTTTAGGCTTTTGCAGACACACAGAGCAACTGAAGGTATAAAACAAAGTTTGTGCCTGTGGCATATGTCTGAGAGACCCGAGATGGCTGCTAGGCTCTTTGGGATTGGGCAGGCTCCAGTACAGGCACATCTCTATCTGCCTAGTGACTATTCACAAGAGGTGGAGTCACCCAGGACTGCAACAACTCCTATTATAATTAGCAAGACAAACAAGATCCATGCCTTCAAACCATGTATCTGAAGAACCTTGTGTGGTTTGGAGTAGCTGTCATCAAGAGGGAACAGGATAATGTTTATGCAGTAGTTTGAGATAACACCCATTTCTCCAAGGTGGCAAAGGTGCAGCTTTTCTGAAAAGAACATTCCTATCAACTCGAAAAGAAGGAGGAAATAAGAGTGAAAGAACAAGATGTCAGCAACCAAGTCCAGATGCACAAAAAGGGACTAAAAGCAACTTCACTGCATAGCCTGATGATATATTATCCTTGCATATATCATTTAATCTTGACAGTCTGGAACCACAAACAAGAGCCAAGAGGTTCCCAGCTTCAACAAATGGAACCTAAAGTTACACCATAGAGAACCTAAATACCTATTTGTCAACAATCAAAAAATGAAGCCAAAATGCTTCCAGCTACAAATCACTTAATTGAAAGTTGTCACTTACATGGACTTCATGGACTTCCTATATCTCTTACTATTTGCCTTATGTTATTTGATCTTATTTTATGTGACAGCACAGCAATCTGTCAGCTGACACGCTGTACCTGAGATCTAGGAAGATCCTTGAGAGGACCACTTTTCTAATTTAAACTGTAACTACTTATTGACCTTATCAGAGGATGGGTGCCCTCGGAAGTGGCGTTTCTATGAATTTAAATTTCCTTTACCAAAGAATTTTGAATATCCACTTGAGTCATCTTTGATCCGAACTTTAAGATTCCCTTTTTGACAGATGATCTAATGAAAATGGGGGTTATTCACCTGTACAGAGAAGTACCATGATCTTCGTTTCCTTCTACTGCCAGAATCTGAGCTATTTAATTAAAAATAAGTACCCCTCCCAAGAAGATACCACTAAAGACAGCTTTTGTATGTTTTCTGAAGAATCCCTCTGAATTCACAAAGAATTAATTTGATACATCTCCAGAATGACTGGGTGCCATGACGAAACAGACAGTCATCATCGACACAGCAAGAGGTGCCCTCACAAGTACCCTAGCTAGCTTACTACTTCAAAAAAGGAACTGACAAACTAATAGGAAAGATAGCCTTTTGTAACTTGAGATTGATTCAAGTGCCCTGGAGGAAATCATAGAATAGTCACCAAATCCCTAACTTCAATCTTAAGTGTCACTTGCAGAGGAAAAAAAAAGTAATGGGCATGTTTGAGATAATTTCTTGATAAGGTTGGAAACATCAAATACTTCTGTTGCCTGCATGCTGCTTCCAACATAGAAGACACAAAAAGACATGATTCCAGGAGTTTTCTTCATGCAACTAATAGCAGGTCAAATTATTAGTGATCCTAAACTACAACAAAACAGCTACTAATAAAATCTGACCGTGTAAATCTTAATGGAGTTGCAAAAAAACTGTAGTATGGCATCTACACATTTCCTCCCTCCCCCCCCACTGCCAGGTAAACCAAACCACTCAACTAATAAAAACAAATACAAAACCACACAGTTAGAAGACCAAAAGAATTTGGATCTATCCTGGAAAATGCCAACCTGAAGTGTCTAAGGCAGTCACAACTGCTGAGCAAACACACATGTGCTCCCAATAGGACAGCTACAATGACAGACACGACTCATGAAGGGTTCCTGGAAAGGTGTCTGCTCATCTGCAATAGTATTTCAGACATGTTAAAATGCAAGCCCAGTTCTCCAATTGTTCAATATTCTTCAAAAGTGTTCCAGAAGTATCAGAAAAGAGCCATGAAGACAGCATGAAGATAGGAGAAAGTGCCTTGTGATTAGATAATAGAGTTCAAAGTTAACCAAACTAATCAATATGGAGACTGGAGGAAACTAACTCCTCTCATAAGACAATATATATAAAAAAAAATCTTCCAATTAACAGAAAGCATAAAACCCCCACATGTCTAGAAACTGAAGGTGACAAATTTCAAACTGATGTAAGAACACAAGCATGCAGGATAGCGAGGACAACTGACACCAGAATAAACTAATAAGGGTGCGGAACTGAATTTGCTCCTGTGTTCAAATTAAAGCTCATGCCATTCTGGATTTTAGACTTCAGTAAAAACACGAGTTACTGAGTTTAAGAAAGGTAGAATTTGGTGCATCTCAATATACAGAGATCAATTATACATTTATATAAAAGCCTCACCTTTTAATATCTGTATATTCTTAGTTTGCCTTGATGTCAGTACTCCACAAAACCCACAGCAATACACAAAGGATGAGTGTTTGCTTCCATTCCCCTGACCCCACCCTGAAGCCAAATGCATGTGTGTTATTCTTGTTTTCTATAATTGCTCCCACAACTCTGGACACTAAGATTTTCCCCCTTAACATTTGGTTTTGGTTTGATAATTCAGTAAGATGACAGATCTACTTTATTCACCTTTATAAAAGAGGGAAAGACCCAAAATTATCTTTAGATTCTGCATTTTTCACTTAGACCAGGGCTGATTTTCCTTCCAAACCGCCAAAAAAAAACCCCCCCAATTTTTGACATCAGAACCATTTGTTTCTACCTCAGTCATGCCCGCCTTCAAAATGATACATAGTTACGAACGGAAAGCCCCTCCTACATCAGGAGGTGAAATCCAATCACTTATTTAAATTTCTTCTAGTAGCTCTCCTTTTACTGGCTAGGTATCAAGTTATTTTCCAAACAGGTAAGTTTTACAGCTTCACTTCAGCTTTAATATTTAAACTTTTATTCCATCTGTCCTTTTGCCTGTGCTTTATTTTGCTTTCTTATGCCACCCATCTTTCAGGCACCCTTCCATGTAAAGTTCCTTTCTGTTCACCAGGTTCTTCAGTGCCACCAGCATGTTTGTTTATATACAGTTTCTATTAGGACCAAGCAATCATGTGATTCTGTAGCATTACATTCAACTTTTCTGATGTTCCATTAGTACTCATTACTCAAACTGTGAAGGATTAGAGGGGAACTCTTCATCCATTTATGAAGCGCATACCATTACAAAGACTCTATGCATACATACAGTGGCAAGCAGCTAAACATTCAGAAAAAAAAGCAGCCAGCAGAAATAATGGCAATAAAGAAATAATGGCTTTGGTTTGAAGAAGAGCCATCATACACACAACTGATATTGGAACTGGAGAGCAAGAAGCAGGTGGGTGGTCCCAGTGGTGCTGTGGGTGCAAAAATGAATATATACTCCCCGCCAGATGCCTGCTAGAGTAAAGGACCAAACTATACAATTGTCACAGGAACATCTGGATTATGATAATGTAACATCATAGCTTTAGAGATTTATTTAATTAGCACACATTTAGAATTTCAGCTTAGAATTACTCATTTTTCGCTTCTGTCTATAGCTTCCAATGAAAAAACTTGAAAAAAGATCCAGAAACAACTCTGCAAGGTTGATATTTCAAAACTTTAGATATGTTCCTAGGTTAAATATCTTCAAAAGAAAAATCTAAACATGAACACATGGCATATAAAACTCGTATCAGCAGTTGTTGAGTTCTTCCCCATGTTTTAAGTGGTTGAAAAAAGAAAGTACACACAAAGCTTAGAAGCACTAGCTACATACAATTTTATATATACATTAACAGATGTATTCACTGTGGCAGAAAAAATGTACTTAAACAGTAATTGTTTTTTCTGATCATAGCAGTGAAAATGTTTCAAAAAAAATCCTTATATACCAAGCTGCTGCACTATAGAACTTAAGAGACACTACACAGTGGTGCAGCAGTACCATGTATCTCCACAGCATTACACCAGAAAAAAGTTAGAAAATGGAAATGAAGATAACTACAAGTTAAGGTTCCAACCCTGCTATAACGCATGTACGCATTTTTAAGCTGGCAGGACATCTAAAAGCCTAGACAAAAGAAGATACCAAATGCCATGGGCTCACGTTAACACAGATAATGAAGGTTACATTCCCATTTTCAAAAACTTGAATTTGCAAATCTGACTTAATCTGATGTTAAATTTGATAGTAGTTCTGAACTTATTTTGCAAGTCATACCTAAAAACTGTACAAACCTCATTATAAGTATGCTCAGCAGAGAGGAAAAAACTTTCACAAACAGTACCAATTCTTATCCAATTCATGTAGAAATAGATGTATGGTAGTAGCAGTGTGAAGCTGAGCTTGTAAAATAAATTAAAAGGGAATTCAACAATGCTGTATCATAATGTTTCCTTTACCCAAGGAAAAAAAAAAGTAACTCAGTTTTCTAGAGATTTGTCTTTACAGATTTCACCATCAAAAAAAAAAAAAAAAGGGAAAAAAGAGAATGTGTTTTTCCCTGCTTTTATTTTCAGCTTTTTTTATATTAGTTAACAAAAGTATATTTATTATAATTATTATTATACATACCATATCTTTCCAGAGCTGCAGAAACTTGTTCTTTCAAATTCTAAAATGGACTTCTACAGTTCCTGTACCTATAATGCAAAACACGTTTCAGTTTTTGTACGATGCTCCATACCACTCTGAAGCTAAAGACAACTTCAAACTGATACATTCAAGAATGGCCATTCAATTAGTCAAAAGTTTAGAACTAAAGGAAACTTAGTCGAAAAAATATACTTAGAATGATAGACTCAGACTACCTCAAGTTGGAAGGGATCCATAAGGATCATTGAGTCCAACTTCCTGCTCCTTGCAGGACTACCTAAAACTAAATCACATGACTTCCCATAAAAACAACAACAGAAAAATATTTGGTATGTTAGGGAAACCATAAAAGCAGAAAGTCCATACATGTCATGCTTTCAATTCTTTCCTCTGTCGTGATGCAACAGAGTTTTACAATTCCACCCATCCAGCTCATTCTAAATACCCACTTCCTTCTTCAGGAAGATTCTGCCAAGGTGCCCTGTTCCCTGTGCACCCCCCATCCGCCTGTCCCGCCCGCTCCCCCCAAACCCCTTTCCCTGGGTTTGCTATTTAAGAATTGGTATTTAGCATCAGAAAGACAGAACCATCTCTTTGTCCTGGCTGCTCAAAACTGCTGGAGTTTGACAACCTTCTCTATAAATTGTTAATTTTCAGGGAAGCCATGATTGACAATGGACAGACAAGTAAAATATACTCCCAACATATCCCACAAACACCTAAAAGCACAACCAATTCCAGGGCAAAAAGTGACAGAAACAGGTATACAGTTTTGTAGTTACTAGAAATCTAGTAACTTCTTTACAACAAGTTATTGTTTGGCACAGAGTATCACATTTTCAGTACCATGAAGTTTTAATATTTATTTATTTATTTTAATTCTAAAACTATTAAGAACAAAAATCCAATGCAGCTGATTTAGGCTGATGTCTCCAATACAGACTGGAGTTCCCACAAAGGAAACCCTGATCTGGTTACCTTAAAAGTACACCCAGGTTTGTTTTAAAACACGTCCAACTACAGAGAACCCATCCTGTATCAACGGCCCATTTCTTTATCCTGCATGTGAAATGGAGTGATCCCAGACTGACACAGTCAGAGTCCCTACAGCTCTACAGCACTAGCAGTTTGCACACAGTTTTTTTGTATTTAAAGGAGACAAGATTGATGTTTCAACAATTATGACAATTTTGTGGATTAATGTACAATTAGGATTAATGACTTAATGTTATGCAACTGTGTCAATAAAACTTTACTACTATTCAGAATAAAAAAAAAGAATTTATCTGAACAATACATGAGAGTAGCTGATGATTTTCCTGTTCAGAGATTGCACTTCCACTCCATACCAACAGCAAAATACAGAATATCTATACTAGTTCGACTGAAGAATAATTCTTCACAGTGTCTCCATCAGGCAGACTCAGAAAAATATTCTGACAAATGTGACCAGTATTTTCATATCTTGTATCACAGGGCCTCCAGCTAAAACCCTTGTGTATGAGAGTGTATGTGAGCAAACGTGCACGTGAACAAATACATGTGTATATGAACAAGTGTTCACACACACAGTCACCTATTTAAAATCCACTTGCTCTGCTCCAAGGTACAAAAGCAGTAACTTTCAGTGTCCACAGAGTACGAGCAGAGCACAAAGTACAGCACGAAAAAGTACCAATACCTCTATCAGACATTTTATGATTATTGCCCAGCAATAGAAGAACAGAAAACAAAGGTTCCCAACATAGCTGAAGCAATGTAGCTCAAGACAGCACAATATACAGAAGAAAAAAGACCACAGTGGAAGAGACAGAGGCTTTGCTTAATAACACATAGCTAGCAGCCAAAGAGCAAGTAATTCCAATGGCACATAACTGAAGCTTCTTGACTTCCAGTTCTTGCTCAATCTCCCCCTACCAGCTACCACCAAGGCAGAGCAGGAGTTCAGCAGAAAGTCTGCTCAAAGGCTACGTGACCACCAACAAAATAAAATATGCAAACTGTAACATCCAAAAGGAATGAAAATCATTTCATGAAGTCAGACGTGCTTTAACATTTACCTTTAGTATACGTATTAATTAGCATTAAGCCACATCTGCCATAAAAAAATGAAAATTGCAAATTGACTAAAAGCATGGCTAACACTACTGCTTCCACACAACATAATGAAATCTTCCTTTGACACAAGATCAGAGCCAAAAGAGCTGCTTGTTTACAACTACGTTAAGCATTTCTAGTAAGTAAAAGCGACTTCAAGGCATGCTGAATATGAACAAAGATGGTAAGCTACTGAATGAACCAAATGTTGCATACGGAACTGCAAAATATTTAAGAAATTAACTATAAATGACAGAAAAATAGCTTTGCAACTCTCACATCTGGCTGGGTGAAATACATCATCAAATTACCTCTATCAGGTGCTTAAACAATGTTTTCCACTTGTTTTGGGTTGCTTTTGATTTTTTTTTTAGTAGCTGTCACAAGATAGGAGCAGAAGAAAAAATTGAGAGTGCTACCCTAAAGGAAAAGGTAGGTATTTTAACTAGTATTATAGATTCTCTCACACAATTCCAGATATACAAGTTCAGGTAAGAATTGTTTTCTTCCATGAGTGACATTCTTACTATAACAATGTTAGTCAAATAAAAAACCAAGTATTCTTAAAGATCCTTCTTCCAGTAAGATACTCAGGTCACAGGAAGCCTGCAAATGGAGTACTTATCACCCCACCTTACAATGTGAGGGAGAGGCTCAACCTTTGCAGGCACAGAATACTGGTATTTCAGAGTGACACACTCTCAGGAGCCCCCGTGCCCCTGCACTCCGATGGGCCTCGCAGGTTCTGCAGACCAGATGTGTTCCTGTGCTTCAGCAACAGGCAAGTTCTGCAACAACAGCTGAAGCACATCAAGCTGCTGCTGCTACAGCCACTGTCTGCTAGTTTACCTTGGGCTTTCTAAAAATAAAAGCAGGTGTATATATACATATTAAACCACAATATTCATCACCAAGACTTTGGACATTAAATTCCACCATGAAATAAAAAGTAATCATTACCTAAATATGGCCAAACAAACAAGAAAGATGAAAATATCATGTTGGAAATAGGAATTCTGAAGTAGCAACAGACCTTTTCAGTATTGTCTAGCTTTGTAAAAGGTTTTGATACCTCTTAAGAAAACAAAAAATATTTTACAAATATTTTTTGTAAAATCAAAATATTTTAAGTACTAATCAGCTCAAACACACAACTAACCATAACATGAAAAAAAAACCTCCTCTACAACTATGGCAGCATTTCCTGGATTATTTTGACCTGCAACCCACTTTAGAAGTTCAAGTCCTTTAAGATTCACCCCACCAC